TGTGTTTAAGCTCTGTCCTTCACTAAAGTATAACAATTGTGTGGTGAAAATGGTACAATACAACCGCTCCTTTCTTGGCTGTTTTTTTTTTCTTTAATGATATGCCTTACCCTCCGCTAGCTGCTTAGATTGAATTTCCCATTTTTATGGACTAAGTCCTCTATTTAAGATGTGCAAAGAACGCATGCAAGGAACAGAGCTCTACACATGAAGAACGTACTAAAGGCAATCAGGATGCTCAATATGAAATAGTCAGTCAGAGCATTGTCCTCATTGCATTTCCTGAAACTCTTGATAATGACTGGGATTTCGAATAAAAGACGTTGTGACAAGGGAGGGAAAAAGCAATTTTAATGTTTTGTTTTTTAAGGGGTGCATGTGTGTAAGGGGGGTTTGCTCTTTATCATGCCTCACTATCCAACCTCTTACCTCCCCTTTTAGGCCTTTAGGAGCATCCTGTGACCTCTGACCTTCTGGACAATAGAGGCCAGGACGTTTCCCAGTGAGCAGCGATGGAGCCAACAACAGGAACATGAGGGGTGCTCCTGGGAAACAAACTGTTTATTGTTCAGCAGGATGGACAGCCCTGCATAACCCAGTCACTTAGTTTTACAATCCAGTCACAATCACTAGACACTATCAACACACACCTCTGCACAGTAAAATCCTGTCAAACAACAGGTGGCTGCTTTAATAACTCCATGCACCATGTAGCCACTTTCACATTCAAATCTCCCGTATATTCTGTGGATGGGGTGTGCACGTGTGTGTGAAAGTGTGTGTGTGCTTGGCTGTAACAAAAGTATAAAGATTACAAGGATATTTTCCTTTTGACCTTTTATTTTATTTTCAATTAATCTACTTTCATTGTACATGTCTCAGGACACAGCCAGTATAAAACATGTACACAACTCCTGCTTTATCCTTCATTTCTGCACTGGCTTAGGCTGCAGATAATATAAGTTTATATTTAGTCAGACTTTCTGTTTGATAACAGTACCAAGACATTTGTTGGTGCTGCCACTGCCTGTCTGTTTCAGAGGAAATCCCTCCTTTGTGTCTCAAGGAAGCTCAGCAAACTGGGAGAACCTGAATTTTTCATCAGAACTCAAACAGCTGGAACGCATTTGATTACGGAGAGCCACCGCTAAATGTATTAGTCAACACTCCAGACTAGTTATTACCTAGGCTCTGGAGACTGCTCATTGCAAGAGCAGCACAGTAAAACTGTTTCCAGAACTGTCAATCACCATGCCAGAACTGTGGTGCAACACAGAGACACAGAGGGCTCTAGGGATTGCCCTTTAAGTGCTTAACCCCGAAGGATTACTGGTTCTTTATGACTATATGTGTGGTTTGTGCCTGTGCTCCACATGATGCACATCTGATATGGGTGGATCAGAGGTGATAGACACAGGGGGCTGGATCTGAGCTCATTCTTTTTGCTCTCTCTGGGGGGAAATTAAATCCTGATAATCAGAGAAGAATTGAAAAATAACCCATAAATCATTTTGGAGATGAGACATACATAACTCATGTTTGCTGTTAGAATAACAACAATGTTTCGATATATTGCTTTATTCCAAATGTAGAAAGTAAAGTATGTGTGGAACAAGAACATTACATAAGTGCAGTTTGGAGAACTGGTTCAACCTGAGGTTTTCTATTTTGTGAAAAAAATTATAATTTTACTTAAGAAGAATTCAGAGGAAAATCTTCCATGTTTAATGCACCACATTTCGCCAATGGCTGAGTTTACTTTCCCAATTAGGATATTAGGCTACATGCAAAACATATGATAAGCTTTAAATCTGATACATTGCTTAAGTTCAAACTACCTAAATCATGATGCTTTTTAAACAAGAAAAGTGTTCTTCAAAAGTAGCGTTTGTAATTCGATACTTCATACAAATCAGTATACAAACTATTATTCAGCAAACCATCACCATCACATTCAGCAAGTCATCACTCAGCCTGCCACTTTAAACGGGTTTGGTCACTGAAATCATTAAACTGAAGTATTATTTTTGTGCTAGGACCCCTACTTGTAAATGAGACATCCCGTAACCAGCTATGTAATTAGGCCAATAAAAGCTGCAGAGTTTTCTCCGACCACAGTTTAAGCATATAATGCCATTTAATAAGCACATCCTTGAAGCTATAAATTTTTATATGATTGCATCATTTAAACATTGAAGCCAAAAGAAAACAAACATGTGCCAGCTTGTTTCAATGTCCACAACACAAGAAGAAGTCAAGGTGAAGCAAGCTCTTATAATGGACTTTTGGTGATCGCTCCAAGTTGTAAACCTCATAAATGCTGATACCCACAAAAGTAAAAAGGAAGATTTGAGGAGTAATTCAGAGATTTGCTAGGTCAAAGGCCACCTTAACACTGACAAGCAAAATCAAATCACAGCTAAGGAAATGAGCCATGAAACACTGATTACTCCATACATAATGACCCTTTTTCCAGTTGCTTAGCTCAAGAATTATTTGATTGTGCAGAGTGCTGACTTCACTGCAAACATGAGCATTGCTTGCACATATTGCCTGAGTGTATAATCAAATCAAGACCATTGATACAAGGAGTGAACAAATATCTCTTAGTATGTGGAAACAATCAGATCTTTGTTCCATAAGAGAGCCCTCAGAAAGCTAATACACTGACCGAAGGTAGAACACCTCAGGGAACTGTGAGCCCAGCTTGTGCTCAGCATTAATTGTTTGTGCTTTTATTGGATAATTCAGACATTAGCAAGATCCATTTAAGTTAATTTTGAAAATGACAGTGAGCACATGCGCTTTGTCGTGGCAACCATGGGAAAAGTGCCACAGAGAGGAATATACTCAAGCTCAGAGATGGCTTTTGCATAATTGCCACAATAAATGGAACGCTTATACAATGGAACGTCTACTAATGATGATTCATGTGACCAAAAAGACAGATCACTGGAGTCTGTTGAGTCCATGGTTTCAAATAACAGCACTATAGGCTATATTCCTCATGAGACAGGCCAAGTAAGCTCCTACCCCCACCCATATCATCCCAGGTCTGACACATTCACACTTTGGCTCATACATCAATTCAGAACTTGGGGCACCAGTCCTGTAACTAAAAACTCAACTTCTTGGTATAGGTAGGAAATTCCCTATACAAGCTGTGATATTTACCTTATAGAAACACAGACATTGCTTGCTTATTGCTTTGAACGTTTACAAAGCAGCATCACCCCATAAATGAAGAGCTCACTGTATCTGTCAACTACAAACCCTATAGGTTTAAAATACACAGTAGTAGCAACCAAACCAAATGTGATTTGAGCTCTCAGAGGAAACTACAGTAGGGTGACTGTGGGAGGCTTTGTGAACTGAGGCTTCAAGCCAACAAAGTGTGGGCTTGACTGTGTCTGAAAACCTCATGCTGATAAATGGCCTCTCCAAGTAGACAAACTCAGAACACAAGGCCCCTGCTGCACAAGACCCAAACTGCTACCTCTGCTGCTGGCTGAATCTGATTACAGGCAGGCCCCGAGGACAGGCAGGTCATTGAGAGCACAGAGATGCGCAAACAATAAGATATTATCTGAAGGAATCTTCAGCTTTCCAAAGGAAAATGGTCCCTCTCAGTGTCACATTGACGATAGGATCCTCAACCTGACACTGAATCAGCCATTTAAGAAGAATGAACACTGCGACCCATTCATACATACTCACTAAAATAATGAGAGCTCTTTTTTCACTCTTGTTTAAGACATATAAAGGGAAGCTCATGAGGCTTTGCAAGACAAGGCTGTGCAGAAACCGGAGCACGCAGCTGACTCAGATGAATATGCCTTTACAGTGATATTGAATGAACAATTCTATAGTATTTTTCTTTATTCTTATGTTCCTGTAAATAATACATGTGACTTTATTGTACTCTACTGCTCCATTGTTATGCACTTTTGCACTTGAACAAATTAATTTGAAATCAAAACTTTGAATAAATTAATTGATTCTGGGGATGTAATATTCAATTTTAAAATTGAAGTGTGCAAAATTTTGCAAAAACGTTTTTCGGTGAAAGCTGTACATACATCTATTCTGGCCATGTCTTTTCTGTGTATGTATTTTGCTCTTTTCAAATAGTGACATCTTGTGGACACCTGGTTTCAGTTATTGTGTTGAAGTCATATGTTTGAAGCCATGTATTACTCTGTTGTTACATCACCGCCTTCCTATCTCTAGTGTTAGTGCTGTGAACTTGATGGTAAGGATGGCGATTGTATTGATCGCGATGATGATTTAATTAGCCTACTTGAACATCCATCCATCCATCTCAACCGCTTATCCTGCCTACAGGGTCGCGGGGGGCCTACTTGAACATATTAAATACAAATAAAAAATGACTCTTCATCTAAAGCAGTATGTAATAGAGTGTCAAACAGATGGGACAGAATGGGTAGCCACAGCCAAAATATAGGTAGGTAGGTAAATTTCTGGCACTTCATCGTGCTATATCCTGATAATACCGAGTTATTTCTAGAAAAAACTATTGTTATTATCTGCCCTAATGACTGAAAGTGTTATAATTTTGATTCTGTGAAGTGGACCGTGTCAAAAACTGTCGAAAATTAAAAATGTATTTAGAACTACAGCCATGGAAGTTGAAATTGTGAATTCACGGTGTTCGAAAGGTCTCGCGATATTCCCCCAAAAAACTGCCAGGCACGAAGAGGAGAGAGCAAAATATCTCGGTTGTTCTATAGCTAAAGAAAAATCAAGATTTTAAACACAGTTTCTCGTATAGCTTATACTACAAACCAAAAGCCCCGAGCCTGCTTTATGTTACACGCGAATTCCTGATTATACCTAAAGTGAGATTTGAAAGTACGCGGCTACAGAAGCCAAATTGTATGTGTGAAGTGCTAACTGTTAGCTGACAGGCTACCTAGCATAGCCATTGATGCAATGGCGTTGAAAAGAATCCAGAAGGTGAGTATGTTATTTATTTCATGTGCTCACCATACCATTTGATAGACGTATTTTTCCGAGTGTGGGACGCTGTGTGAAGATCACACCAATGTGTCGCCCTTTCTTCAGCTCGACTTAGCCTTGCTTGGTTGCTTTTTGTGCTTCTTTTAAAAAATAATTTGCAGACAAAGACGAGATAACCACTGGTGGTAGCCCTATTGGTGCATTGCTACAGTTAACGTTAGCTATCAACAACCACCGTAAACATTGCCATTATTTTGATAGATACGCTTTGTTTGTGTTTAATATTTATTTTTTTCTGTCTGAAACCACATCCAATACTTCGGGTAAGGCGGCTAGCGTTAAGTTAACTAACAAGCTAAACAAGTAATTTCGCATTGCAGCGCTAGGCTAGCAATAAGCCAGCCTTAGTAAGTGTTTTGGTATTTGTTTTGATGGACTGACATGTAACAGGGTTTGCTTTTAACTTCTTAGCCTGTCAGTTGTCTTTATCTTTGTGGTTCGTCACGAAGCGTATGGCGGTGGATGTGTTTACTCCCTGAATGACAGCTGCTTGCCGGTTGCCAAAATTGAACCCTAGTGTCAGTGTTGCCATATATGGAATAGTAAATGGGGCACTGGGGCAGGCCACGGTGTGTATTTATATAACAGAATAGATAACGTTACGCTTTCTGTGGAGAGATGTTAAATAACGGGCTTAATTTCTATTTAACCATCTGTTGTTTTGCTGTCTTTGCTCATCGTCATTTCATGGATTATATGGAATGGGGTTTGGCCATACCCTTTTACAGGTATTTTGACATCCTAGTTTATGCCTTCGCCTGTAGAACATATTTGTTTCTTAGTATTAAGCTATGTAACCTTGTGCAAGTTAGATTGAATTGATTGATGACTAAAATGTTATTGAAGTCATCAGCCCTAAAACCACCATTTACATGTCAACAGCCTTGGATCATGACGGTAGAGCAAACATGGCTGATCAGAGGGGTAGTAACTACAACGTGGCTTAAATTTGGGGTTCAGTCCCCAAAAGTTACATAAAGCCAAAAAATTATATGGATCAAGCCCTGCTGAAGTTTCAAAGAGGTTGGTCTCTGTCGCAAAGCTATATTTCTCTCTCTAAGTAATTTTAAAATATATGTAATTCATCCATGATCCATCATTTTGGCCTATGTGGCCTAATGCTGAGGCTCAAGCATTAGCATATTTTCCTGTGTAGCCACATTACCCAATACAATAATGGTAAATTAAAAGCTGTTTCATTATGTGATTGTTAGGAATTGTCAGACCTGCAGAGGGACCCACCTGCTCAGTGCTCCGCTGGACCAGTTGGAGAGGATTGTAAGTAGTTAGAAAATTGCTGCATAGTGTATGCCTGAACATAATAATTCTGTATTGTTATGTATAAATCTGTTTTTAAGATTACATCAGTAGAGTATGTCGTTATCTCAGGAGTTTGCATCTCAGTGTTCATACTCATACGCATAATTGATCTCCCCCCAGTGTTTCATTGGCAGGCAACAATAATGGGTCCGGTAAGTGAAACTGTATCTTACCCGAACTGAAATATGATTTGAAATGTGACAACAAAGACAAAAAAAATGCTTATCTTGTTTCTATTTTCATTTCACTAGAGTGACAGCCCATATCAGAGTGGAGTGTTTTTCCTCACCATTCACTTCCCAACAGATTACCCCTTCAAACCACCCAAAGTGAGTGTCCAGTGTCAGCCTTGTATGTCATATAATGAGGCACATATTTCAGCACACTTGTCATTTACTGTGGTAAAGGCACTGGCTTCACTGGAAAAATTATGACATTCTTTTCCTGTTTTGTCACAGGTTGCATTCACAACAAAAATCTACCACCCTAATATCAACAGCAATGGGAGTATTTGTCTGGACATACTGAGATCACAATGGTCACCTGCACTTACAGTATCAAAAGGTAAGGGATATAGTCTGTTTATTTATTACAGACAGTTGTGAATGTTGACACAGCATGCACAGTAATATGGCCCTTCCTCTGTCACAGTTAAATGTAATGCAAGCAGTATTAATGTTATTAGTTATACGTAGGTTTGACAAGTCTAAATGCAGAATGATATAGAAAGGATGTGGAAGTTGCCACTCTCACTCTGGGTGGCAAAGATACAGTATCTACATCTAAAACAAAATACTCATGAATATAAAGTTGCCATTTTGACGTTTACATTTTCAGGTAAAATGGTGTGGTGGCGAATAGCGCCGTGGATAAGACACATGCCCTTGGTGTAAGAGGCGCTGGTTCGATTCCCACTGCGACACACCCACCAATGTGTCCCTGAGCAAGGCACTTAACCCCTAGTTCCTCCAGAAGCGTGCAACCTCTGACATATATAGCAATTGTAAGTCGCTTTGGATAAAAGCGTCAGCTCAAAGAGTAAATATATATGATACCTTAGATTGGACTATTAAAAGGTCTTAATCTCGATTACTTTTCAGTTGTACTTAAACTGGAGTCCAGGCCTCATTAATGCCTTCAGATGTATGTCCTCAGCTCTAAAATACTGTGCGTGTATATCTGTCAGAAAATTATTATTATTTCTTTCGGGCACAATGTACCTGTAAATGTTAAAATGTAAAAAGACTCCAGTATCGACTGAAGTTCTGAAATACTTTTCAGTGTAATGTTTTTTAATAGGATACCTAAAATGTACCGTATGAATGAATGAGCCTGCATGTATTTGATCATTACAATACATATTCAAGGAACAAACACTTAATTATATTTAAGGTACTTGGTCATGTATATATTGATATTCTTAAATATCGCTCGGCCTTACTATGATTATTATTTAAAGATGTCAAAATCACACCTGGCTGTGCTGGGGTTAGGAGTAGGTCTGTCTAAAAAGTAAGTGGGCTTTACTTCTCAAGAGGCCATAGCCAATACATCCCCTCTCACTGTCACACACTGAGATTCTTTTAATGTAATCTGAATATTTTATGATTCATTCTTCCACAGTATTATTGTCTATCTGCTCTCTCCTTTGTGATCCAAACCCGGACGACCCACTGGTACCAGAGATCGCTCACACATACAAGGCTGACAGGGAAAAGTGAGTGTAAAACATGAATGAGATTAATTACATCTGTCAGCTTTGCTCACTGTCATACTGGCTCATTATTTTTGTAGATAAAAGTTCTTAGTTTGCAAGTTCACCTGAAACCTTTTCCCAACCTCTCATGTGTTTTCCAGGTACAACAAATTAGCAAGAGATTGGACACAGAAGTATGCAATGTGAGAATGCCAGGGAGATCAAAATACAAATGAGAACAAAAGAAACATGTTTGATTTGTAACTTAAGGCAAATGAGCAACAGGGAAAAAAAAAAACTAGACAACAGTCCATCTTTTGGAGGAGGAAGCGATACAATGAGGTACAGTGCCACCTGGCTTTCCATGTGCTGAGCTGCTACCATGTGCTGTCCTTCATGACTTGTATGGATCTGCTGAGCAGGACCTGACGGGCTCCTTAAAGCACTCCCATATGGAATACCGGAAACTCTTCACAGTCCATACCGCCACTCTCAGACTTAAAAACTGTTACTCCCGCTATTGTGATTATCACTATCATTGTTGCTGTTCATACACATCATTTTCACTGTCCATGAGTCATATCGTCGTGCTACTCGGAAGCAAAATGTTTGATTTATGTAGGAGATTGGCTCTCTCTTCATTTCAGAGGTACTGTCTGTGTCCCACTGGATATCTTGTTATTACTGTGTTTTCATGTATCTAGTGGCCTTTCTGTGTTATTATTTACGGTATATGTGCAATTGAGGCAGAATGTTCCCTGTTCAACACAATGGTGCAGTGCCATTACCAGCAGCTGATCTGTTGGCACATACTGTCTCTACCCCGAAACAATGTGAAAGATGGAAAGAACCATTGGTTTCTATCACCCACTGCATTTTAAATTGCAACAGTATTTAGTGGTTCTGAAGACACTGGAGAGCTACTGTTAGGAGCTAGCTGGCCCTTGCCTCACTGTTGTGGCCTCCATAAGATGAATGTCAACTTCCATTTTTCTCACACATGCTGTCATTGCCCTTTATAGCCTGTGTAAGTAACCACCAATGGCTGGTGTCCATAGTGCACAAATACTACTGTTTGATTTGTTACTTGTTGTGTAGCAATGAACATAGCTACTCTTTGGCATATAGCTAAGCTGCGTGCCACCTCCTCAGTACAGTTACTCAGGTATCCAATCGAAACATCAGCCTTTACGTGCAGTGACCCATGGTGAGAAAAATGACCAGGGCTTCTAAAAAATAGTACTGATCTAAGTTTACTGGTTTGTTTCTATAAAAGAAAATGCTCATGCTTCCCAAAGAGGCAAAAATGATCAAAGACAGATCAGCACTCCTGACGTTCTTTATGCATATAGGTGTAGATGTCCTGTGTTACACAAAAAAATATGCTGTCCCAGAAGTACTGTCATTTTGTCACAGGGAGGATTTTTCTCATTATCCCTCTCCAGTTCTTTTCACCACCATTTCCATTTATTTTTGAACAACACTTGGGATGTGAATGATGCTGTCAAACACGTACATGCCACTGTTTTTCTAAAATGACATGGCCTTTGGTTACATATGGCTGGTGTCGCTATTACTCAAAATGGGAACTTAAACAGACTTAAGATTTTGCAGAACCTGGTAGTTTGAAGTCATGTGCATTTGTTACTTGTGGTGAATAAATACAGTAACTTGACATGACAATTTAATCTGCTTTAAATATCAAGTGAGGTGAAATTTGTCACTTGTTCATATTCATGATCGGGTCTGCAAAGGTTTGTTTTGTTCTGGGATGAATAATCCACACTGACAGTAAAACAGTTTGTCCGGGTGATGCATTTGTGACCCTTTGTGTTGTATCTTTGAAAGCTTTAGTTTTAGGCAATTTTGTTCATTCATGTCACCAGAATTTAACATGATTGTGATGTGTCATAATGTAATACTAGTTTTAATATAATCCAGTGTGACTGTTGGATAAAGTAGTTAGGAAGTGCTACGATTATCTTTTTTTAAATCAAGGCTCATAATGTGCTGATGCTGCCAATATAAAGGGAATTATTTGATGTTATAAAAGGGGAAGATAATTTGCTATTGAGGCATTATCATGCAAATTCATCCAGAAAGGTCCATAATAAAGCATGAAAATTTTAGAGGCTTTGATTGTAGAATTAAAACCTTGGTTTAGGCGCCAAATATGTTAGCTGCTGTAGAGAAAATTGTGAAAACAAGGTCTCCTGAAATACAGTATATAGTTAAAGGTTTTGAAAATATATCCTCTAAATGCAGTGGAAGTCTTTTTGCTACCAGACAATTGAAAATGACTTGTGTGTAATAGTAGTAGGTCAAACTTTGTGCATTGTTCTTTGTTCATCTGGCTATTTATTTATTTGAAAGCTGAGTATCTTCCAGCTGTACGATTGAATGCAGCCTCAATTCGTTATGTGAGTGATGCGACATTGACTTCCTTTGTCCGGTGTGCTCAATAGAGTTTATATAGGCAGCTTGGCATGCTTTGCACTCTGGAGAACCTTGTCACAGCCATTTGCCAGATATCAGGGATTTCGTTACAATTCATCTGCCTAACACCTCTGACTAAAATTTTAGCCTTAACCCTCATTTTGTGTATATATATATAGAGAGAGAGAACGTCATCAGAAACTGTAAATTTGCTATCAGGGCTGTATCCCCAAAATGGGTGATTCATTTCATTAGTAGACATGGAAAACTGCACCAGTATTTTTGTTGAAAATTTCAGCCTGGCTTTCTCTGAGGACCAGCCTTCATGCATCTTAAAATTTGGAATATGTGCGCTTGAACTGCCGCCATGAACGTCCACATGTCCTCACATAGCCCACACAATATAACTATTGATCTTCTCATAACATATAAATAAAGCTCATCTTGGTTTACCACTGTCTGAAGTCATTTTGTGTGTCTTTATGTTGTAGTATTTAATTGGCAGTAGTATGACCCAGAACCAGCTGTGCATTGATGATATTAAAGCAGTGATAATGTTCTAAATAAGCAAATAAAAACCTGGAAATATTGTATATGTACGGGAAAGTAATTTAGTTTTGACGTTAAGATCAATAAAGTGCTGTAAAAAGTTGCTCTTCAGGTATAGTGCCACTGCACACCCATGCGCGCTGCACTCTAGGGTGCGTTTGATTCAGTGGGATGTTATGCAGGTTTTTGCTGTGCAGTTAACACTTATCTTTGCGAAGATGGCTTGCACAGATGCATAGCCGAGTTCAGAATAATTGAAAAGGCAAATTAGCTCCGTTATTTTGGAGTGTCACGCCATCCCGCAGGATGCAGTGACTGAGATGTAGCTACTACTAGCTTAACCAGCTTCCTGTACAGCTGAAAGTCAGCATCACCGCCACTCCTCCCAATAGGAAGTGCGCATCCCGGATAGCTAGCTGGCTAGCTGGACTCAGTGTCACGATGGCAGTTAACCTCAGCAAAAATGGTCCTGCATTAACAGCTGCATTTAAAGAAGTGGTAGATGAAAAATCCACTACCAACTGGTAAGGATCGGCATTTTTAAAACAGTGTTAACCTTATGGGAGGTATTATGTTAGCTGCAGTGTTGGCTAACCTTACGCCAGTCAAGTAAGTTAAGTCAACGTTAACCTAACGGTAACGATAAACTTGACAAACTAGATAAACCTGTGACTTAACGGTATTTTGTTAACCGCAGCAAACCATCTACTGAAATTGGCGGTAACGGTACAGATAAAGTCAGCTTTGTTTACATGCCGGTTTATTTAGCCTTCTCTCATGTAACATTATTGGCAGTCTGATGTGTATTGACGCTAAAGAGGAGCTAACTGAATGGCTAGTAACATTGTTAATTAGCTGGAAACACCGACCAGCTAACAGGCTAACCACTTAATCTCTAACATGTTGCATGTATTTTATTATTTGTTCAGCGTGACTGTGTTAAAATGGAATGAATACATTTCTAGCTAACTCAACCACTTCCTGGTAAGATATCAGAAGCTAAAAATGACCGATATGTGAAAGTCAAATCTAGGAACTTCCTCTGGGCGTTACCTAATGTTACAGAGGACCCTGCGCTCGCCTTGAGGTTAAAATGAAACCTGTTGATGACAGCTGCAGTGTTTAATGATGAGAGAAATTAATTAATCTTAAGGAGCAATTGCCCAGGGAGTCCTGCTGGCCCCATATTCAGCCTGAAAATGTCTCTCTTGTGAATGTTTTCCACTCTTCACTCAGTTCAAGGCAATTGGACATCCATCTCCTAGTAACACCACAACTTTGTTATTGTAATTATTACAATGCCTTTTGAAGTACTTCTGAAATGAAGCTGACAGGAAAATGTAAAGATAACTTACCTAACTCTGAAAATATGACCTAACCCGTGCTTAGAAGCATATGCCTTTTAAAGACCACTGAAACTGAGCTTGTGCTTCTATATTTAAATTTTTGCAAACAGTACTGGTCTGAAATTGACATCCCACATAGAGATTTAATTGTTTTTCTTTTTTTTATGTAAGGTGATTGCCATGTTAGTTACAATATTTCACATGACTAGATGACTGTAATACCAGAAACTCTTGTAAGTTTCTGTATGAGAGCAAGTCAAATTATGATTCTGCTGCGGTGCAGTACTGGTCTGAGGCAAAATCATAAAATCATCTGTGGTTTTTCTGTGAAATGGGGCCTAAAGCCTTAGGCCTAGATATTATTTACTCTTGTCTGTGTGCCATTAAACTAGGGGTGTAACTAACAAATATTTTTATTATGGAGTAATCTGCAGATTATTTACGCAATTTGTCGAATAGTTGCTGTGACTATAAAATGACACATTACACTGAAAAATGCCCTCCAGGGTTTCCCAGAGCCCACAGGGATGTCTTGCTTTGTCCAACCAACAGTCCAGAACCCCAAAGACTATACTATTGTACGCAACAAAGAAAAGCATTAAATCATTTGAGAAGCCTTTATGTGTGTCAGCATGATCTTTTGATTATTACTCTCCTACCATTATATAACCCGAAAAGGCTGTTTGGCCTCCCAAGACATCAAGAAGACGGACTGTATATTCACTTGAAGAGCACACAAGCAAAGAATTCGTCAAATCCCTCCATGCTAATGAAGATGACGGAGAAAAGATGAGAAATGTGCCTTTCTACAGGATATGGCCCAGTATTAACTAGGGACTCAGTTTGTGTAAGGCTGCTAATCCTTGGTTATTTTTATTGGGCATTTAATATCAAGCAAAAGTCAGTGAAATCTTTACTTGTACACGGGCATGCAACCTGTAAAAGTTAGTGACTTGGTTGAATTTAAAATAAGATTATGACTGCAGCGATACTCTGGTATGTTTACACTACCCTTCTTCCCCTGTGAAATGTTTCCTGTTGGAGTTGGGCTTAAGGGTGAAGGTTGCTTAAAATTGGTTTACAAAACATCCATTGTTTTGTTTATTATGAAATGGTGCACATCAGTGGCCAGAACAAACCCTTTTCTGTCTGTCGGTGGGAATTGTTTAGCTGGTATTTTAATATCCTTAATCTTGTGTTTTCCCCAGGGCCTTGTTCACCTATGAGGGAAACAGTAATGATATCCGCCTGGCAGAAAAGGGGGGTGAGTATATATTGTGAAAGTTTTTATGTTCTCAATGTGATATTAGCAAATGTGTGCAGGAATTTCATTGTCAGCTTACAGCTGCAGTACTAGAATATCTACACAAAAGGACTGCGTGCCTCTGCTTACTCACCCTATCATTTGTAAGGGGGAAAATGTCTGCAGTTACACAACCAACCACAGTAACCATTTGACTTTTCCACAATGTTTATGTATCAGATGGAGGACTGGAAGAGCTGGTTGAAGAACTGAACAGTGGAAAAGTGATGTATGCCTTCTGCCGAGTACAGGATCCAAATTCTGGTCTGCCTAAATATGTCCTCATCAACTGGGTTTGTGCTACACTTAACTATTGCACATTTGGTTTTGTTTTTGTCCTCTTTGTAGTGGCCTTCCTTGAATATGTAGAATAATTCTTTGTGTTTTTCAGACTGGAGAAGGAGTAAAGGACGCCAGGAAGGGAATATGTGCAAATCATGTCAGCGCCATGGCCAATTTTCTTAAGGTAACAATGCACTGATTTTTAAGTCTTGTTTAAATATGCATTAGAATTTCTACTACAGTCTGTTTACAGAGAAGGTTATTTGTGTGGTAATGATTGCTTTGAGCAGAACAAATAATCATTAAGCAAGAAAATGAAAAAGAATACTATACGCATTGTTGGGATATTGCTTTTGTTTGGATTGGTTTCAGTGTCATTCATATCATATCAGCTAACAGCCACGTAAACAAACTACTGGATGGTGCATGCATAATCCAAGGTAAAAACTATTGTTTCTCTATTTCTCTGAACATTGAAAAGGAACACTTTTATTTCATGCTGTTTCAGGGGGCCCATGTCACAGTAAACGCCAGAGCAGATGAGGACGTGGAACCTGAGGTGATCATGCAAAAGGTGGCCAAAGCTTCAGGAGCGAACTACAGCTTCCACAAAGAACCTTCCAGCCGATTCCAGGACAGCGGCCCACAGGGTCCCGTGGTATGCAGCGCATGTTATTCCTGCCTCATGCCCTTCTGTTTGCTTATGTGTTATGCTAGAAAGATAAGCAAAGGGCTAGATCTTGACTAAGCGCCTTAATATTGAAACATTGATACATTTGAAATGTTTGTGTGGGGAGTTTCTCTCTTTGTTATGGCTGTCCATTCACACTAAGCCAGTATCTGTACAACCAAATCAGAAAAGTTGAAAAATTCTGTCCTATATCAACCGAAGTACACAGAATTTAGTCTCTTTTTCATGCTCTGAGAGAAAGAGACTGCTATCATATCTGAAAGATAGTTGTTAAGGAACAAAACAACTTGTACTATATGATACACATGTTCATTTTAACTGAGTAAATGGTGTGAAGAGTGTACATTTTTAATCATTTAATGACTGAAAAACAAAGAAAAGAGATGGATTTGGTTAAATAAATGATGCGAAAAAATAGTTGTGGTATAGAGGTGGGCAATGTTTCAGGGTATTTCTGTGATTAAAAAAATTCTTGACAAAATACTGAGAATATTTTTTGGTTTAGAACTCACAATAACTGTTAGGATCTCCTCATTCTCCACCGGGTGCTCCTGCTTGAAGAGGTGAAATAAGTTTGTTGTATTGGCTTGTACCTCTGATCTTTTATAACTTATCCACTTCCACAGTACTGCAGTTGCTCCTCTTTTTGGATCCAAGTGTAAGGGAAATGAGAAGAGCAAAGAGCTGGTAGCAATGTTACTGTCGCTTGTTACTGCAGTGCGTAACAGCATTATCACGATGTAATTTTTTGTCATAAAAATTATACACATTATATTGTGAATGATATGATATGGCACACACCTATTCTGGCAGTTGGATCACTCTGTATATTTTTTTACTTCTTATTAAGTAAAATGTTTACACAGTCATTAAATAGTCTTTTCCTTCATGTAGGGCTCGGTGTACCAGAAGACCAACGCTGTGTCGGAAATCAGAAAGACCAACAAAGACAACTTCTGGGCTCAGGCAGAGGTAGACTCCTGAATTTGCGTTAAGCTAACGCCAACTTCAACTTCACCTCTGAGACAGCTGAGTGTGAAGAACACCGTTAAGCTTCTCTTAAAAAACACTCCCTTAAAGATTTGTTATTTTTATGCTAGATGTTTTTGACTCATTGAAATTGCACTCCCTAAAATATTGAGTTTGCAGTTTTGAAACATTTGACAGTTATTGCATTTCTCATAAAATCCAATATATAAAAATACAAGGCAGGCAGGTTTTCTTGCATCACGAATGTAACGATAGTCAGCGAAATTGTTGTAACTTTATCCTTTTGTTTGCAATGTTTGGTTCATCACCATACTTTTCACAGGTGCACCCAGAAAGTGGTGCTCACTGTCTTGCAGCTTTCTTATATATGCTATTGTGAAATCAAGCTTTTTAATGACTATAATATTTACAAAATGCCAAAGCAACACTGACCTTGCCAGTATGTTTGGCTTTTTAGAAAGAAGAGGAGAAACGTCGCCAGGAGGAAAGGCGCAAGGCAGAGGAGGATCGCCAGCAGCTGGAGAGAGACAGGAAAGACAGAGAGGCCAAGGAGGCAGCGCAGAGGGACAAAAGGGACAAGGAGAGGGCCACTCAAATTGAGCAGAACAAGTAGGTAGCAACTGAAGGAAATGCTGGTTAAGGCCTGTTTGCAGAGGCACCTATTAAAAGGTTCAAATTACATTTCTAAACCGCCATTTGTTTAATAGGAAGTATCAGCAGCAACAGGACTCTGGGAGTAAAGAGCAGGAGAAACAACGCTGGGTGAGTGACTCGCTGTCCCATTGTGTGACAGGGTTGAATAAATGGTTGGGGCTGTGAAGTAGCCTGGCGGAGGTGATGTGAATATGGATTGGTGTGAAGTTTACATTCATGTTTAGTGTCTGCGATCGTGTTTATGGTTAAATACAATTAGGTAGTGCACACGTGTTGTAAACGCTCATAGACAGGAAGGTAGCTAATGTCAGCAGAGCCAACATTAATATTGACATCATCAGGAGGAGCAGGAGGAGGACCAGGCAGTCCAGAAGAAAGCAGTCAAGAGAGGTGAATCTGTGGAAAAGGCCAACGTGAGTTCCCCTACCCGAAAGTGCTCTTCTCTGGTCAAACTACTTCCCTTTTTCTCGCCTATCTCAACAAAAGCGTTTGTCTCTTTCAGATGTGAGCTATTCGAAGCTTGATGTAACACACCTCTCTTTCAGTCCTTACTGCATGATCTGTACTTTCTCTGTGATCATTTACAGAAATCAGACATCTGTCTGTTCTGTAGTTGTTCTCTCAGCAACACCTGCCACTACATTATAAATAACCTCTGCCTCTCTGATGCTTATTGTGCCTGTTATTCGTTTTCTTTTCTTTTTTCTAGGAGGCAGCTTCTCTCATCTCTCAGCGTGCTGTAAACCCCAGAGAGATGTTCAAGCAGAGAGAGAGGGGAATAACTCCCAGTGACTCAGACCCCCCCTCTGCTGCCCCTGCTAGCCCTCAGCCAGGTATTGCCCCTGCACACACCGTGACCTCTCCATTTAAAATCTGTTTGCTTTAAATGTCAGTGCCCCTCCCGCATTACTGCAAAGCTCTTAGTCTGTCTCTCAGGTAGTGCTTTAACTTTCCATCAGACTGTCTAGTGGTCTAATTGTCATACTTAACACTGTGTCTCCATCCTGGTGTCTCCTCTTCTTCTGCTCAGCCTGTCTGCACTCTGTTTTCTCTCCATTTTTGCCATGTTTTGGGGGTTCCATGTGTGTCTCTGCTCAGGGCGCCTGCAAAGCCCTTTTCTGTCTAAGCCAGTGTATGAAAGTGAGCGAGCCAGCTCACCTCAGCGCCAAGCTTCTCCTGTGCCAGCAGGCTCCGCCTCTCCTGTCCGTGCCACAGGTGTGAGCTTACACACACACACACACACACACACACACACACACACACACACACAATACATCTATACAAACGTAATGGTTGACAGTATAAAACTTAACTGCATGCTTCATTTCTCATTGTTGTTTCTCTGTGTCATCATCTTAATATTCCCTATAGGCATACTTACGAGGGTCATACTTCCGTTCAGTGTTCCAGTGCTCCTTTTCCTGAGAGATTATTGTTTTGTAGCTCCACAAGTGAAACGTGCCAAGAATGCCCTTATGTCTGGTGGTGGTTTTCAGCCTGTGTGGACTTGTGAATGTGTTCCTCTGTGTACATGCATGTCTGTGTTTGTGTTTTGGGTGATAAGAGCCAGATGTGGTTGATGGACAGTCCAGGTGTGAGTATGATGAGGAGGAGGCGGCGACCCCCCAGGAGCAGATGAAAGGTGGGGCCCATTTCACACAACACCGGCCTCTGTGTTAACCCAGCTTCCCAACCCTCCCATCTGCCTCTTAGACAAATGCTGTTGTAATTTGTTAAAAGCACACATTATTCCCTCCAGCCAGAATGGGCTGTCAGGATGACCTGCTGCCACCTGCTGGTAGATATGCAGATCAGACACAGTCATTCTCATAGGAACTCTCTTTTCAGAGGAATCACCAGCTGCCAACTCCCATGTCCAAGAGGCCGTTTATGAAGAGCCCGCTCAGGTAGTTGTTTACTTATCTTTACCAGGAAATGCTGACACTGTTTTTTTCCATCATATAAAAAATTCCAAAACACAACTTAACCTTATTCCTCTCCCAGGTGGAGGAGAATAACTATGAGGTGACTGCTGAGGAGACCTCAGACAGAGGCGTCTGTGCCAGAGCCTTATATGATTATCAGGCTGGTGAGGGTTTTTTTTTTTTTATTATTATCACTACACCACAACAGCAAATGGACTGATGTTTAGTCAGTGAAATAACAAGTGTTAAAGAGCAACTTAACACCTTGTTTTAGCGTATATTTGCCCCCCCCCCCCCTTTTGTGAATTAAAAAAATCATTCAAACCCAGACTGACAACCTACATATCTGCTGCTTTTTAACATCTGCAGCAGCGGGTAACAGCTTGCCTGGCCAGCAACAGGGAAAGCAGTGACAGCGGAGCTAGGCTTCAGCAGATGCAGCAGAGGCGGTGGAGAGTGACAGAAAAGGGGATGTGAATGAGTTCCCCAACACTGTAACACTTATCAACACTGTAAAACTAGAAGTTGCAGTGCTATATTTGGAGGTGTAGGGGACAGAATAGTTATGTTTTCAACGGAAAAAAGGCAAATAACGTCTGTAACAGTGAACATTGGGGCGGCATGGTGATGCAGTGGTTAGCACTGTCGCATCACCTTGGTTGTTACAGGCCTTTCTGTGTTGAGTTTGCATGTTCTCCCGTGTCTGCACGGGTTCTCTCTGGGTGCTCTCACTTCCTCCCACCCTCCAAAGACATGCAGGATAGGTTAATTGGTGACTCTAAATTAGGGCTGTAACTAACTATAGATTATTTGAACGATTCATCGATGCGTCGTTTAAGAAGTACTTACTTACTTTTTTTCACACTACACAACTTGCCGTCTTGTGACGGGAGTCTTGAAGTCGTTGTAGCGTTCACCCTACGTGACTGATTGGTGACAGGAGTTCACACAAACTCTACGCTCTGTCACCCGACGCTGGTCTCCAAACCACGTTTTGTCAAGAAAACGCACGTGAAACGGGAAATGAGCGATCCTGCACACGAAACAGCTGTTTGTTATTGTAAAGATAGCAATTAAAAAGACAAAGAATCTGGGTGAAAGGATGGATTAGCACACGCAGGTAGCAGGAAACATCTGAGCTACAGGGGAGTTAAAAGGTGCAGCTCCCCGACACGCAGTTAACTCTTGACTGTGAGGTTACAACTCACGGCCCGAAAAGGAGAACAACAACGTACATTTTGAGGACTGCGGCTTACTTTGGCTAGCCTTCAACTCAACAATCAGTCATGATTTCATTTAAATGCTAAAGTTACTGTCTGTGGTCTGCTGGCAGAACACCGTCTGCTTTCTGATCTGGGTTTGTTTTACGGTGGACGGACGGTAACGTTACAGAGTTGTTGTTTTCTTTTAGCTTGACATAATCCCATACTTTGGACACTTTCTTCTTTGTCCCTCGCTATTTTCTGTCACTTCCTCTACTTTGCAAACAGCTCCATTATAATCACGTCGTGTTCACAGCGTAAGCGCGATGTGAAACAGTGTGCTGTACTATATACTATGTTCTATGGATTTAACAAAGCATTTTATTAATCGATGAATCGTTTCAGCCCTACTCTAAATTGTCCTTAGGTGTGAGTGTGACTGGTTGTTTGTCTATGTGTGGCCCTGCAATGGACTGGCGACCTGTTCAGGGTGTACCCCACCTTTTGCCCGATGTCAGCTGTGACCCAGTACACAGGATAAGCGGTTGCAGTGTAGTTATTATAGTTTGATGAACTTTTGCTTAAAGTAGGTGTTGAGAAAATGTTGCTGATGTTCATGAGACATTGCTGTCCTCCTCCTTCAGCCGACGACACAGAGATCTCATTCGATCCCGACGATATCATCACGGGGATCGAGATGATCGACGAGGGCTGGTGGCGAGGCTACAGCCCAGACGGCCATTTTGGAATGTTCCCTGCCAATTACGTGGAACTAATCTAGCACCCCCACCCCCAAATGATCACACTGGCAGCCCCACAGGACCTCTGCAGTAAAACAACACACAGCAAAGTTACTCCTCGCACACAAGTGAGCTGATCAGGCTGAAACGGAGCACATGCTCCTCCCCATCATGGACCAATGAACGGATGGTAATGCTGGGCCAGAAGCTTTTGAAGTATTTCCTCATTTCAAGGAAGCAATTCCAATAAATTGTTGATGTTGTAAGCAACCGATGGCATAGTTTAGGGATTTGTGAAGACCCATAGGTCATCCAGAACTCCCTTCCACTCCCCCAAATACATCTCTTACCTATAAATGTGATGCAGTACAATAGCAGCCTTTTGTTAAGTCTTAAAATCAATTGTGAGCATTAAAAGCACTTCTAGTTAGCATTCCTTACAGTGACTTCAGTTCTATTTCAGGTATAATTTTGTTGTTACTTGTAGCAAATGCTCCTGTACATTTCAGGAAGGGGTGGCGGGGGAAAAAAAAAAAAAAAAAATCAAAGATGGCGGTACAGTATAATCTTTTGCCTTGTTTTTGCCTTTCTTTACCGTCAGACTGAATTTTCTTTTTTTTTTTTTTATGTGATTGAACTTACATCCTGTGTGACTTTCAAACCATGTTTTAGTACTGATCTGACTGGTAGTTAAAGTGAATATTTAAAACAAACAAACAGACGATGCTTGCTGTGCTCTGGGTGGTCGATGTTAGTGGGGAATGCATAAAACGGTTCCCTTTAACTCACTTTATAATGGTTGTCTTCATTTCAAGTCCTTCGTCATCTGAACCAGATTATTTCAACATATTTAACTTTTCAGGGACAAGTTGAAGAGAAGAAAGCATAAGTCGGCATTATTTTTCTTTTTTCTTTGGATCTCGCTGGTCTGAGGTTGATTTTGAGTGTACAACAGATCTCTAATAAGTAATATGGGGTGTTATGGTGCCATAATGAGGAGCAGTGATTGGTGACATTTTAATTGAACATTTAAACAGTTTGACATCAGAATTTATGCCAAGTTCGCTGTTTTTATAAAATAACAAAATGATTGCTCTTTGAAGCTTTTAGGTCAGTCGACAAATGAGTTGGTCATGAATAGGAATAGGGCATCGTGTATCCATTGCATTCTTCATGTTTATTTTTTCCAGATTCTATTGTAATGCACAGACATTCTTCATAATAAAATAAATAAACAACCTGTGTTGTCATACCGTCTCTCAAATCGGCAGAGCATAGTAAACGTTCAGAAAAGCATTGAAATAACATAGAAAACCTTCAGGGATTTTCAGAGGTCTAACAGGAACTCAGACGTATACACACAGTCAGTATGTGCTCTACTATCAGTTTCCTGGAATGAGGCAACAGCTGGGGAATTCACCTCTTTCGTGTTTCATTTTCACATGAAAAATCAGATTTTACTTCTCCCACATCCTTCAGTTAAATCTTGGTTCAGTGAATGATGTGACTTGCAAATGTAAATTTATGAAATGCTTCTTTGACTAAAAATTGGATTGCAAATACATATATTTAAAGTCTGTCTACCTCCAGTTTCCTTATGATCCCATGTCAGGCGAGTCATCGGAGATGTTAAGCTTCATTTCAGCTGTGTATGTCACATATTGCAAATCTCTTACTGTGCAAGTCACACATTTCTGATGAATATTGCTCAAGAAGAAACAGTGGCCTCACGGTTTCCAGTAATGTTTTGCTAAGATCCTCCAACAATTAAATGCCGACTTATTAATTAGAGTACCTTTTAATGGTCTGCTTCCATTAAATGCTTTCCAAGTATTCAGTTTTAGCCTGTATCAAACCTTGAATGGAAATAATATTAGTATATTAATATTCGCTTGTCACTAAATGAATCAACCTGTTATCTGGGTTTTTACAAATAAACATTCAGTTTCAGGACAATTTCCTCTTACACCTAAATCAACTAGAAACTATAAAAAGAAATCAACTCCCACTAATAAAGTTTTACACCCCCGCTTTTAATGATTGTAGATAAAGTTAATATGCTTGTTACGCTTGAACAACGGTGCGTCTTTACACCCATATTTCTGGAAAACCTCATTCTGTAACAGCAAATGACAGTTTCTTGCCATGACTGGAATCTTGATGTGCCAGTTATATGCTTGCAGATTGTTCCCAGGATAGTGACTCACCTCAGACAGGAAATCTTTTCTGTGTTGGATTCACAATATCTTCTCCACACGTTCTCATTTACATTGTGCTGTCCTCACCTCAACCTTGTATGTTTATGTCAGTGAAAGTCTGAAATGAATAGTCTGGGGATTTTCTCAATCTAACAACCCATGTTTTTGCTCATCGACTCCACTTTTGTTGTCGGCTGCATGAGATAGAAAAGAGTTCTGCAAAACATATTGTCAGAATTAAATGGAATAAAAATGACTTTCCTATAAAGCTTCATGTGTGACATTAACTACGAATATGTTCTCATAGAAATTCTAATCTCACCACACACCGACCACCTCTCTGCAAGTTATTTTTTTATTTCTGCATTTCTCACTCTTGCATAAACAAATAGTGAATCTCATATCTAATCTAGATCAAATGTTTTATTTCTCCTCTAAATAGCGGTAACTTACACTTAATATCTGTTTTAAGATCTAATTTCTGACTGAGTCAATTCGTTGATATGGAGCTGCATTAACATGAGTAGTTCAACATCATATTTCTTCCATTTTCTTGCAGAGAGCCTTGTTGATCATCTCGATCACAATTTCTCAAAAAGCAAAACAAAAACTTGTTTTGTATCTATCAAACAAAAAAAATCCCTCTGAGATTTGGACAGTTTGTAGGTATTTGCTTATTTTGACATTTAAATGTTAATCATTTTGAAATGTCATACTCTATCCGCAACAGATAGAGGAATAGGGCATCCCCCTTTTAAATAGATCAAAAACATGCGGAGGAAATGTGGATATGTGTCGAGTGCAGCTTCATCACTCGTCAGTGTTTTTATCACGAGATATGTGGGACTGTACCAAGTGTGGGACAGCCAAAGGAAAATGGAGGGAAAATACAGCAGTTTTAAATGTGACCTCAAGAGAAAACATATGACAATGGTTTTAAAAAATGCTAAAGCTACTCAAAGTCATGTAAAAAGTAACTTGACCCTGATGCTTTGCAAGCTGACTGGCATGTGGCCATAAGGAACATAAAATCTTAAGACTCAAAATTGGTAGTAGAGAAATAGATGATATTTTAGATAAATAGATATTTTTTTTCTCATCTCTAGTAGGAAAAGTTGCTTCCGCATTGTCCTGGCATCTAATTTTTAACCAATATCTTTCAGGTAAAGGCCAGTAGAAACCATTTTAAAGAAGTAGTGCATGGCTTCTTCCTTAAAATGTGAGGTCTTCAATCCCTGCAGCTAACAGTCAGTCTCAAAACGTTGCCCTTACTCAGCTATTAGCTGTTATGAGTCAAAAATACGTGCTTGTATTACTCCAATTTAAAGCACTTCTACATTAAACAATGCCATTTCAACAGCAAATCTGGTCTATTTTGGTCCTAAGCACAGCAGCAGATTAATTTAATTCCATTCAATTTTATTTTATTTATATAGCGCTAATTCACACTTCATAGCAGACAGTACTCTTTGTGATATTATTTACAGAGACCCAACAATTCCCACCATGAGCAATCACTTGGCGGCACAGGCAAGGAAAAACTTCCTTTTAAGAGGCACAAACCTCAAGCAGAGCCCTTTACTACATCACATTATAGTCAGGATTTAAAGCTTTGATTTAATTTCAAATGACATGATGCACTCAAAGCAACATTCTGTATACACATTATTATTATTGTTGTTATCATTATTATTATTAGCATTATTGTGTATGTAAGAGTAGCCTAACACCCCCTGAAGTTCCTGTGTTTGCTGAACTGCAGTGGTTTAACTTCTCGCCTTGCTGCAGTGATGTACAGATGTACTGAGGGACCCTGTGACATCACTGTTGGGTGTGGTTACAGGTGCAACAGGCTTTCCACACTGTCAAATATATAATATCAAATAAAACTGCGTTTATTACCATAACTAATCTTGATACTGCCATAATAAAAGGCTACCGCGCTTTACTGTGTTTTATTTTACCATCCGCTCAAAATAAAATAAGGAAGCAAGATGCTTTCAAAATGCTCATTCATTGTGGTATTCAACACTTCATGTTGTACTTCTTAAATGCTATTTTAAGACAGCTGGAAATATTTCCCCCTTTTACACACATTAATGTGAAATGAATGTCCCTGTACACATTGTAATCTGACTGATTGTGTAATACACAGTTTAGTGTCAACTCTAATAAATATTTGGTCATTATTCAAGCACTGGTGTACGTTGACAGTAAGTGGTTAAATTAAAGTCCTGAAACATATTGTTTTAATAATATAGACAAAGACAAAGGGGAAATAGTATCCTTACATTAAGTCACATTTAAAGCTTTATTTGGGCATCAGTTGAATGTTGCTTTCACTTCCCCAATTGCAGCAATTTCGGTACCAGGCTTGTAGTCATCGTATCACTATACCAACAAACATAGTTTTTATTTTATTAATAATTTCTTGAATATATTTGTCTCATGTACACAATGTGTGGTATAATACGTACAAAAACAGTAATGACAACATGTGTTGCTAACAACATTGTAAACATAAGATACTTTAATTTTCCTCATGTTTATCTGAAAATTAATAATAAACAACGCGGTTGGACTAGTACAATGGAGACAAGGTATCCACATGAAAAGTTTGATGCACAAATTGAAACACAGCTGTTGTTTTTTGTCTGAAACTCAGGAGATGAAACAGAGAATAGACATTGTGTGACAAAAGAAAAAACTCAGTTTCCCAGACTCATTTGCTGCTGAGTGATGAGTCGACCAATGAAACCGTTCTGCGGAGACACCTTCCTACTTCTTGGTGTGAAGTTGAAGTGGGCACCGCATGAATTACTGTCACAAAACACAAGCCAGAGACTAGAGGACAACTTCGGGAAATGGGTGAGAATTACTTTTATTTTTATTGAAGCCAGATACTACTACATATTTATGTTTGATGTATTTTTCACAACAGGTTAAATACTGTAAAGTTTTATTTATATATAAACTGTATATAAATGTTAACTAAATAATATTACTCTTTGAATGTCTTTGTTTATACAGTATATGAAAACTGTTTCATGTCTGCTTTTGCAAAAGTAAATGAATGTACCCTACATTCATTTGTAAAAGAAACTATTTTGATTTAGAAAATGATAATGCCTCAGGACTTAACCTCAGTCTTTAGCAAGTGCCCAAATTAATGTATCACAATATTTTGACTGGCATCTTTATCTGATAGAAAACAAACCACCATGACTAATGCATGTGTTCATATACAAGGAAACAGTAACAGTGTGTGTTTGAAAGTGCTTGAAAAATAATAAAAAAACAATATTTCAAAAATATGTTTTCAACACATGAAATGGAGAAGTTAGAGGCTACTGAAAGCAGAATTAAAGGTTCAAGCCACAGCACAGGAAATAAGTGATCTCAAAAGAGAAGCATATTGGTTTTGCACACAAATGATATCACTGTGGGTGGGAGGTAGAGGTTTTGAGCTGACAGTTTGTGAAGAATGACATTTCATTCTCAGAATTACATTTCATTCCCAGGGCATGTGATTTTTTATACTCTTCATTTACTGATTATTTTCCTCATAAAATGCAGTAAAGTGGTCCTGCATATTAAGGCATGCACATGAAAAGCGAAAACACACCCATTAAGAGCTGTAAGACATATTCCCTCATGTTTTCCTAAATACAGGGAATAGTAGGGTATAGTAAGTTATGCTGTGCACGTAATACATTGGAGTTTAGTTTTTTTAGATGATGATTTTGCGTTGTCAAATATAGTTTATGTGATACAATATCATACAGTGCATCATACAAGCGGTTTTGTTCATGAGCAGGAAGTGGTTTTGCAACTTGTGGTTTTATATCAGACTCAGTTGACAATATGTTTGACAGATTTCTGTTTTGTGTGCTGATAGATTATCTGACCATTGCACTTATTACAAAAACTACTCCATTCCCAGCAGTGATGATGATCACTTTTGTAACTTTTTGTAGGAAAGATGTTTTAATCTGCTTCCATTTGACATTTCTGCATGTAATGTTTCTCTAACATGGACTTC